ATCTATAATGCTTCCCCCATCTACCGGAGCTATTAGTGACTGCTGTTGGGCGGGAAACGTCCGCAATTTTGCTCAGTGACCTCCTTTGGAGGTATGAGGTTCTTTTACGTGCCATAAAGCTACGACACGGGACCCACGTCTTAAAGTCCCTCCCGGAGGACTTCTTCCCTGAATTTTTCCGCCCTTAAAAATTCGACGACCTCCGCCGGGTATTTGAACCCGCGTACTACGAGTCATGAGGTGGGAACGTTACCTCTAGACTACGGAGGCTGCTTCTCCAATAAAGTATATGAACAAACAAATAAATAATATTCACTACACAGATTTTTTTAGGCGTGACTATTGACTTGACATATCTTGGCAGGAGCATATAAATAAAGTGATTACTAAATTAAATTCTGCTTGTTTTGTTATTATATCTCTTAAATTGTTTTTAACTACAGAAGACTAAAAAATTGTATATTTTGCTTATGTTCATTCTATTAGCACGTATGGTGTTGCCTTTTGGGGAAACGTGACTAATAGTAAAAACGTCTTTATAGTTTAAAAAAGAATTATAAGAAATATTATGAATGTGAATCCTAAAATATCTTGTCGGAGACCTTTTAGACGCCTAAATATACTGCCCTTTTATTCACAGTATGTTTTCTTTATTGTTATTGGTAGTAAAAAATATACACCGATTTGTAATTAATAATGAAATACATACTATAAATACAAGACAAAGTACTAATTTACACATACCATAGGTACATTTGACCAAATGCAAAAAGGGTGCCTATTATATGGGTATAGAAATTTTTAATCATTTACCATGTGATATAAGGGAAATGTTATATGATGTTAAAAAATTCAAATTAGTCACTAAAACCTTTTTCTTAAAGGAATACTTTTATTCAGTAAAAGAATACCTTATACGGTCAGCATAATGATGGATCATACATAGTGCAATTGTCTTTTATATTACCTATTTACAGCTGTGTTATTCCGTTGTATATTATTTTTCAGTGTATTATATGAAATATTGTGATTTATACAAATTGTGTCCTTGATTACATAGTGTTATTTATTGACAAGGTTGTGTGTTATAACTGCTACTGTTGTACTCATTTTTAATAATGGACTACTTCTATATCTGTGGTGACTTTTCATCACCTGTATGATTACTTGAAGTATCAATAAATTAAATTACAAACAGGGACCATGACGCAGAATTCTCTATTACGTATATAGATAAAAATTATTACTGATAAAATTTATGTACGTAGGTATTTACCTCGTCTACCTGTTATACATTGGTATTGCCAAATAGCTCAAATCTGTCGATAAACTGGAGAGCGTACAATACCGACGAAGTAGGCTGATACCCTTCATCTGTACTGCTTCCCGATCTCTTCGAGGACACAATTTTCTTTCATTCTTTCATGTAGTTACAGCGAAGCGTGTTGATTTTTCGTCTCACATCAGCCGTATATATTCAGCAGTTTCTACAAAGTTATATTCGTTTTTGTGTTATTTAAATACATTGGGTTAGTAAGGTTTCACAGTTCCGGTAAGGCTTCATATATGTCTATGAAGTTTCGAAAAACTTCGCCCTCTTCTGCATTCACCTCACTTGATAGCTTGACAGGGATTCAGTAACTAAAACATCACTTTCAACGCGTCCTATGCCATGCAACTACTTCGTTACGCTCGTTACCCTCGTTACCGTGAGCCTACATCCATTAAGCGAACCGCATCATGTCCAGCTAAGGTGCAGCATTGCCATCTTGCTACTTTATATGTATCACCTATATTATGGATTAAGAATAATGCAGGACCTTTTCAACCAAGAGGGTATTTTTCCACTAAAATTTATATTGCTTAGTTTTAGAAAATAAATGCATAATCAATTAAATGGATAATATTAAATCCCAAATTTTCCGGTTTAATCCAGGGAATTTTCTGAAAACATTGTTGCCTACACTTGATGATACCAGCACGCGGGAAAGGGTCGAACCGTAAAGTTTGTAATGCCTGTATTAGTAAATAAAGTTTGTGTAGGAAGTTAAATAAGTAATAACAATGGGTATTTTAGGACTGTCTAAGCTCATAGCAGATATTGCACCGATGGCAGTGAAGGAGAGTGAGATTAAGCACTATTTCGGTATGTATGATATAGTAACACTGGTTGCTTTCTCCAAAAAGTTGAAATGCTAATAATTTCATTTGTGTTTATCACATAGGCCGAAAAGTAGCAATAGACGCATCAATGAGTTTATATCAATTCCTAATTGCTGTAAGAAATGAAGGGGCTCAGCTGACGTCTGTGGATGGAGAAACTACGAGGTGAGCTACCATAACCTGTAAAACAAAGTGTTAATACGGAGCAGTGTTGTGATATGAACACCAGGGCCATTGGTAAACTATTGTAGCAGAGCTAGTAGTTTAAACGGTAGGTGCCATAGGTAAGTAGTAAGATACAATAAAAATCAGTTGCATATTGCGATATACAGAAAACCCCCAAACCTAACACAGAGTAAAAAATATTGATTATACAGCAGCCGCTATAGGCGTCGTTAGTTTGCTGATAGTGGTGACCGTACTTGAGACTTTAACCAGTAATATAATATAGCAAGGTTTGTACTTTGTTGTATTGCTTTGGTTTTCAGCCATTTGATGGGCACATTTTATCGCACCATACGTCTGGTGGAGAATGGTATTAAGCCTGTATATGTGTTTGATGGCAAACCACCAGAAATGAAGTCTGGAGAACTTTCCAAAAGAGCAGAAAGACGAGAAGAAGCACAGAAATCCCTAGAGAAGGCAGAAGAAGCAGGTACTTATTGTTCCTTTTTACATTTCTCACAATTATTCAACCAGATTTGTTACAAGAGTATTGGTGTATTATACTGTTGAGGTAAGAATGAATATGGTACACAAATACAGAATCATTACTTCACTGCCAAAAGAAAAAATACTGTGTCAAATGAAATATGATTCAGTCTCTTGCATCCCTTTTCTTCTGACACTCTGTCCATTCCCTTTTCCAATTTGATATGCACATTGCAAATGATTTGTTCCAGGCTAAATAAATAAATGATTCTTCCTTCCATACAGCTCATAAAGTTTCACTTCCATCAAGTGAAGTGTATAATGCATGGAGCTTTATGTCCATGCACTCTGTGTTGATTTTCTTTGTGTCATGCTTACATATCACTTAACAGCCATATTGGATGAGGAGAAGCTTTTTTTATGATACAAAACAAAATCAAATGAATATAGATCACTGTTACCAACTTGAACATTTTTACATTACTAGATTCTCAACATTCCTCCTTAATTTCAAAATGTTACAAACACATTTCTCATTTTCCTTCTTAATTTCAAAAAGTTGTCAACATTATTAGCTGTTTTACAAAGTTAAATTGAATAACACTTAGTAGTTTTGGTCTTCAGATTACAAAATTAGTTTTAGTAGTTTTGGTCTTCAGATTACAAAATTAGTACATGTAATTAAAATTTTCTGTCTTATCAAAATGAGACTTATTTCTTCTTAAGTATAATGTCTCTAAACTTGGCAAATTTCTCTGGTGATAGCAGTTCTGTTAAAATGTCTGCCACCTGAGTTTCAGTGTTACAGTATTTGATTGAGAACAGTTTCACTTTCAGTTGTTCACTTATGTAGTGATACCTAACGTCAATGTGCTTACTCCTAAGCGTTACTTGTCCAGATTCCATTAGCTTGATTGCACTCTGATTGTCGGCACACAGTTCAGCTTCCACCCTTTTTCCTGTAAACTCCTCTATCAACATCTTTTGATATTTCAATTCTTTACAGCACTCAGCTGCTGCAATATATTCGGCCTCAGTGGCTGATAATGCAACAATACTCTGTTTCCTAGAGCACCATGATATTGGGCCCCCTGAAATCATAATTAAATATCCCGTTACACTCTTCCTATCCTTTACATCCCCTGCATAATCAGCGTCACTAAATGCTTCCAGTTTCACAGTTTCGGAGTCAGATGAGGTATATTTTATTCCTGAATCTCTTGTACCTTTCACATACCTAAAGGTCCTTTTTACATTCTGAACAGCTATTTTGTCAGGATTTTCCGAGGTTCGACTTTCCACATTTACAGCAAATGCTATATCGGGTCTGGTTTTAGAAGTCATATATAGCAGGCTTCCTACAGCTTCTCGGTAAGGAAATCTTATGTCATTTTCTCCTTCGTCATTTGTTGGTGGGGTCGTGGCCATGGGTGTTTTCATTTCTCGACTTTCTTGCATGTTGTATTTTTCCAACATTTGGCTTGCATAGTTGGTTTGAGAGATATGTATCCCATCTGGTTGCCTCTCAATTTGTATTCCTAAATAAACTTTTGGATTTGTGGTTTTTGTTATCTGGAATTGATTTTCCAGTTTCAGCAAAATTTCCTCTATTTGTCTTTCATCCTCTCCCATGATTATCCCGTCATCCACATGAATGGCCATGAACAAACTATTGGCATCATTCTTAAAAATGCATTGGTCAGATTTTAGTTGGTTTAGACCTTCTTCTTTTAGAAAGGTTGTCAACTTCTTGTTCCATTGCGATGGTGCTTGTCTTAGGCCATATAATGCCTTTTTCAGGAGACATATCTTGCCAGTGTTCTTGTATCCTTCTGGTATCTCCATGTAGTTTTCCTCCTCAAGGTCTCCATACAGGAAGGCAGTCTTCACATCAAAGGTTTGCATGTTCATATTCTTACGTGCTGCTATGGCAAACAGTACTCTAAGAGAATTCATGTCAACAACTGGGCTAAAGGTATCCTTGAAATCTATTTCCCCTTCCTTTTGTTGGCATCCTCTCACAACCAGTCTGGCTTTGTGTCTTCCATCATCCTTTATTTTGAAAACCCATTTACTGGTCAGAATTTTCTTGCCCATTGCTTTCTCTCTGTTTACATATATCCAAGTTTTGTTTTGGTAGAGCGAATCCTTTTCCTCTTTAATGGCTTTCTTCCACTTCTCGCTGTCTTCGCTCTCCATGCACTCGTCATATGTATAGGTGAGCATACCCTCCTTTTGACTCTCTGTGTGATAGTCTCGGTACTTTGGGTGCATTTGAATGTTTCTTCTTGGTCTCAATGCATATCCATGTTCGTTTTGTCCATTGTTTTTCCTTCCATTATCCTTGTGGTCAGCATTTTCATTTTCTTCATCCTCTTCAGTATCTGTTGGTTCTTCTTCATTGTTGTCAGCTTCGGGTTCTTGCTGCATTTCGCTGTCTTCCTGATCTGGAGTATTTGGCTTGTCTTCTGGATCCGTCACTCTTTCCATTTCCTTTTGTTTATTTGTTGTCACAGGTTTACTTGTGAATGTCACATCTCTGGAGACATAGGTCCTTTCAGTATTTGGATCCCATATTCTGTAGCCATTTGTGTTGTATCCAACGAATATTCCTTTCTTGCTACGACTGTCCAACTTTTTCAATGGTCCGAGAATTTTAGTGTACACTTCTGAACCAAAAATCTTCAATCCAGCCAGATCTGGTCTTTTACCATACCAATTTTCTGCTGGCGTTCCATTCACTGTCACTGTTGGACTTCTGTTTAGCAGGTATGCAGAAGTGAGTACAGCTTCACCCCACATTCTCTTACTTAAACCTGAGTCAAAAATCAATGCTCTTGCCTTTTCCACAATGGTACGGTTCATCCTTTTGGCAGTGCCGTTTAGCTGTGGCGAATATGGTGTAGTAAATTCCATTACAATCCCCTTGTTCTTACACCATTCTCTCAAGGCGTTGTTCTTATATTCCCCTCCATTGTCGCATCTTATTCTTCTCACTCTTGTATTGAAGTGACACTCAGCTTCATTTACATATTCCTTCAAAAAGGTATACACTTCACTCTTATTTTCTAACAGGTATATCTTACAAAAATGCGTATAGTCATCCACACACGTAAGGAAATATTTCTTATTGTCATAAGTGGTGGGATCAATTGGTCCACACACGTCACTATGAATTATCTCTAATGGCTTTCCAGCCCTACTTCTTTCTGTAACAAATGGGAGTCTCACTTGTTTGGCCTGCATACAAACTGAACATATATCAAAATTTTTACACTTGCTCACACTTTCTGGTATCCCTTGGCATATCTCTTGTAGTTTCCTAAGATTCGCATAACTTATGTGACCTAGCTTTCTATGCCACTCTACACTTATATCTTGCTGAGTCATCATAGCTTCATTCCTCGCGCTAAAGTTAATTACAAATAATCCATTTTCATCCTTTTTTCCTTTGATTACAACATTTTTGTCCTTGAGTATCTGGACTTTCTCTTTTGTAAACAACACTTCTCCATCATTTTCTGTAATACAGTGCACTGACAGCAGGTTTTTGCTGAGTTCTGGAACATATGAAACGTTTTTCAAACTACACTCTTTAAATTCCAAATTGCCTATTTCTTTTGCAGTCGTACTTTGATTTTTCTTTGCTACCTTTATACATTGAGTATACTGCTTAGTATGTATCAAATCAGTCTTCACATTTGTCATATGACATGTGCTGCCACTATCCACTACATACATTTTGTCTTTTTCACATTCATCACTCACGTGGTTTTCTGCTGCTTCAGCTAGAAAATTGACCTTGCTTCTTTTATTCCTATCTTTAAAATAACAGCCCTTTTCAGCATGGTTCGTTTTCTTACATACTGTACATTGTTTTCTCGTATCACTGTCCTTATTTCTAAAGTAACAGTCCTTTTCAGAGTGATTATTCCTTTTACAGATAGAGCAATTTCTCTTACCTTTGTTGGGGCAGTTGATCTGGGCATGACCTATTTGATTACAATTGAAACACTTGAAAGGGGTTTTACTTTTGGTTTTAGTTACTGTCTTAAAGGCTGATCTGGGCATGACCTATTTGATTACAATTGAAACACTTGAAAGGGGTTTTACTTTTGGTTTTAGTTACTGTCTTAAAGGCTATGCTTTCCTCTTCTTTAGTCGTCATCTTGCACTTCACTTCTTCCAACATCCCTCTGGCCACCAGGTTGTCAAGGGTTCTGTCCACGGTCGCTGTTGAGTCCCGGGCGGTGCTGAAGTGTTTGTAGTCTTCTGGTAGAATCGTTGTTATTTTTGTCATGATCATGTTTTCATCAATGTTTTGGTTCAGTTGATGAAGCTTGAAGGCAATGTTCTGCACATGACTTATATTCATCATCATATCCTTAGTTTTGTCATACTTGAAGTTGTAAAAGTCTTGTAGCAGAAGACACTTCAGTTGAGAGGTGTCTTGCTGATAAATTTGCTTCAAGGTGTCATACATTTCTTTTGCAGTCGTGCATGTCACAGTGTGGGTCTTCACATGTTTCTCTATCGTTCTCACTATGTAGTATTGGCACGTTGCATCTCGCATCTTCCTTTTCCTTATATTTTCTTCATCTCTTCCTCGGTCACTTAACAGGTCGCTGCCATCAGTGATGTTTATCAGTTCTTTTGCACACATCAGAATCTTGATTTCAAAATCCCACAATGGAAATGAGTTGGTGTTCTTCAGTTTTGGCAGATGAGTTACCTCTTCTGTCTCTGTGGTTGCCATTTTCTCATTATTCTTCTTCTGTCTTCTCCATTTTTTAGTTTTTGAGCAAATCTGGGCCCATAACCTGTTGATTTTCTTTGTGTCGTGTTTACATATCACTTAACAGCCATACTGGATGAGAAGAAGCTTTTTATTATAATACAAAACAAAAACAAATGAATATAGATCACTATTACCAACTTGAACATTTTTACATTACTAGATTCTCAACACTCTCCACACATACACGATATGCTTAGGTATGGTGGCAACTTCATTTTTACCTCCTAGAAAGGGAGAGGAAGGATGCAGCTGTGTGTCCTGTTGTCTTTCCTCTCTTTTTCTTCCAGCTTTACCCTTCCTTGCTTACACATAGCAAAGTTACGTTTTATACAAAACTAAGTACATGACTCCTCACATATGACACACACACATTTTTTTATGACATATCCTCCTATGAAAGATAATATTGAAGCTCTCGCTAATAACGTAGGCCAATCAAAGCTGTACACAGATGAAAACTGCATAGGTTAGAGCTTCAATTATAATAGCATGAGGAGAAATGCACTCAGAAACAAATACTAAAATTTGCAGTATTGCACAGCAAAATTTATGGTTTAGAATGAAAATTACCTTCCATAATGACATAAAAGAGAGCTGGAATAGTTCATTCAGTATAGTGGCTAGGCTGTGAGCTGGATAACCAAGGAATTAGCTCAATTTCCAGCATGGGCAAGGGATCTTTCTTTTCTCCACAGCAACCAGACAAGTTTTGGGGCCTTGTCAGAGTAGCCATTGGTTACCAGGGGTAAAACAGCCAAGGTTTGAAGCTGACTTGTATGTGTGTAAGGGTTGGGCCATAAAATCCAGCCCTCGCACTGCGATCTTCAATGATCTATTGTGCTTCCCTTTTGGATCAACCCTTTATTAATCCTACACTTCGAATGAAATGTAGGACTTTATTTATGGGGGCATCATAATAGTCACTTGGTTCCATGAAGAACTGACCCAGGTGAGAAAATCTTAAATAAGCTATGGCCTCTCAATCACATAGGATGTGTGTGGCTGATTGATCTTGTAGGCACCTTTCACAGGTTGGGTCATCTATCAGTCCCAGTTTTGAAGCTGACTTAGTCACATCAATCTAGTGTTAAGGTTAAAAATGTGTGGAGGTGTGCCTCCACTCCTATGGCTTGGTGCTTAATTAAACACAAGGACTTTACAGTTACCTTTTTATTGGTATAAAAATGAGACAAGACACTCACGGAAATAATGCCAATTTTTGAAGCTTGAAGTGAATTAGCTGTATAGTAAACTTGTACTTCATTAACATAAGCTACCTTGGCCTAACTACCCAAAGCATATCAGGATGTGGCACTGCTTGCTTGATATCTGAAATAACAACAGCTTCTTTTGTGCTTTGTTGGAATCACTCAATCCTACTCCAGTATGGTTCAGGTGGTATTGTCACCAGATGGCTTAAGATGAGGGGGAGCAAATAAAACTAATGCTAAATCAGTTACTCATGATCAGCAGAACTGACACTGCTTGGGGAAGAATGACAGCTTCAGTGTAGTAACTAGCAGTTTTCCTTATATATTATTCTGCTTCATTAATTCATTAATAATTTAAAATTTTTATCTCATTCCATTCTCACTACGATTTAAATCATGAATGTTATGCATTATTATTATTATTATTGGAGGGGGTGGGTTTCCCCATGCACTGCGACTAATAGTCTATTGTACGTCCCCCTTTGATATTCTACCAGTCGCCATACCCTACCGGTACTGGTGCTTGCTATCAGCCCTGCTCAGCCAGCGAGTTTGGCCCCTCTACTGGGAAATGGTACCCGATACTTCCCCCATCTACTGGAGGCATTGGAAACTACTTGGGCGGGAAACATTTTACCTAATTTTGCTCAGAGGTCTCCTAGAGACATGAGGATCTTTTATGTGCCGTAAATCTACAACACGGGACTCATGACTTAAAGTCCCTCCTGGAGGACTTGTTCCCTAAATTTTTCTGTCCTTAAAAATTCCACGACCTCCGCTGGGTTTGAACCCACGTACCTTGAGTCATGAGTTGGGAATGTTACCCCTAGACTACGGAGGTCGCTTAAATGTTATGCAAGTTCATTAGATTGCAAGGCTGTACGCTGAATTGAACTGAATTACACAGGGAAATTATGAGAGCATACCATATGTTGTTTGGCTGGTTCGGCTTAAGAGATGCATGAACCTCATGTCAACATTTTCTGTGTGTTGAGACCCGCACTGCATTTGACATGCCTGAAGACGAAACCCGCTTGTCTGAGATGGTTCTTATTGTCTCTGGTTTTTTAGTTACATTTAGTTATAGTTTTTAGTTATATTATCCTTTAAATTGGTTGTTCTTTGCCATAATCACAGGTACCAACTGTACAGAAAGCTACTGAAAGTTTTACATAATTGATGACATTAGTTCTGTTTATTATTTACATAAATTATCCACTTATCTCATAATCACTGGATTAAAATCTCTGTTATATTCAACAGTGTACTTCTGTGTTAATGGCATTTATCCTCTGGTTATGTTCCCTGAAATTGAAGTGGTCCATATTTTTAAATCTCTGTTCATGGCTAAAGAAGAAATAAGAGCATAGGTCACATTTCAGTATAAAGTCTTGGTTATTAGAAATATCATGTATTTTTTCTGAAATATCTATTATTACTGCATCCAACATAAAATACTGCCATTTTACTTTTCCTTTCAGGCGATGCAGAACAGGTTGATAAATTCAGTCGCCGTTTGGTTAAAGTGACAAAACACCATGCAGATGAATGTAAACAGTTGCTTTCTCTGATGGGAATTCCTTACATCGAGGTCAGTTCAAAATGTAAAAACTCTGATCACCTAGTAAAGGAAATAATATGGTAAAATTAAACTGTACTGACAAAATCCCTCCAAGTCTGAATAGACACTAGAAATTTGCTTGTTACAAATATGAGACCAAAAACAAACTGATTGTGGTGTAAGTTTTAATTCTGAACATTTAAGAATACTGAAGCTGAATGAAGGGAATAGGTGAAGTTCTCCTCCATACATTCTTCACTTCAACAACAACATGGACTGGAGTAGTCAGCTTCATGCTTTGGCTACCTTAATCCTGGAATTACTGAGTTATCTTACCTCATTATAACCTGAATATGAGCAGGTTTACCAACTTTTCTTCTGTGCAGGCACCATGTGAAGCAGAAGCACAATGTGCTGCTATGGTGAAGGCAGGCAAGGTGTATGCTACAGCAACAGAAGATATGGATGCTCTCACATTTGGCTCAAGTGTTTTGTTGCGTCACATGACATTTAGTGAAGCACGCAAGATGCCTATACAGGAGTTCCATTTAAGTAAAGTACTAGAAGAACTAGAGTTATCTCACAATGAGGTGAGACTTATCTTACACTCATTCATTCATTCATTCATTCTTTTATTAATCCTGTAGATCATGATACAGTGATATAGGACAAGTCTTTCAGCTAATATACATTATTAAATTATGACAATCTTAATACTAAAAAATTATACGTGGTGCTATCCAAAAGTTCCTGAAATATATTAATAAAAACTATTACATCTTACCTAGATCTTATTCTGCACCATCACCTTCAAGTAGTCCCCTTGGAAGCGCATACACCGATCCCAGCATTTCTGCCACTTTTCAAATGCATCCTGGAAGTCTTTCTTTGTTAGGGTGTTTAGTACCGTCTGTGTTTCCGCTTGAATTTCCTCAGCTGTATCAAATCTTCGCCCCTTCAACTTGATTTTCATCTTGCGGAAGAGAAAGAAGTCGCATGGAGCTAAGTCTGGTGAGTACGGTGGGTGGGGAACAACTGCCATCTTGTTTTTAGCCAAAAATTCCTGCACAATGTAAGCCGTATGCAGTCGTGCGTTGTC